AGAGAGAGAGAGAGGAGAGATGAGAGAGAGAGAGAGAGAAGAGGAGAGAGAGAGAGAGAGAGAGAGAGAGAGAGAGAGAGAGAGAGAGAGGAGAGAGATGAGAGAGAGAGAGAGAGAATGAGAGAGAGAGAGAGAGAGAGAGAGAGAGAGAGAGAGAGAGAGAATGAGGGAGAGAGAGAGAGAGAGAGAGAGAGAGAATGAGAGAGAGAGAGAATGAGAGAGAGAGAGAGATGAGAGAGAGAGAGAGAGAGAGAGAGAGAGAGAGAGAGAGTAGCTTGCTCTTCACACCCACCACACCGCTCCACAAACCACTTCTGGAAGGGGGGGAAGGGAGTAGTTTGGCACATCAGGACCAGACTGGGGGAGGGGGGGGGGGCGAGGGGGTTATTAAGAACCTGGGGATGTGTGTGTTGGGGGGGGGGGGGTCCTCTCGAAAAATATAAAACAGAAGAACTGTCATACACTTCCGTGTCACATGGAAAGCCTTCTTATCCACAGTAGTTCGACCAACCAAGGTGGAGAGGGAGCAGGAGTGGACCAAAGCAAGAGTCCGGGAGAGTACAAAGTAAATTGTGGAAAATGGGGGCACTTGGTCCACTTCGCTCCCAGACCATTAAATTAATACACTGATATGTACAAAGCACAATCATGTCATCGTAGCCATTAAATACACTAACATGAAAAGCAACTATCATGATTACTATAGCCCTGATTTCCTTGTTAGACCTCTAGTACACACATTCCATAATAACAAAAATCTTACCTTTGTAAATATAAACAACAGCTCCATTCTTTTAAACACTTTCATATACATAGAATTAGCCGCAAGATGGTGAAGAGTCGTGCGTATGTACAGACAACAGAACAAGACCCGCCTCTACGCCCCGGCGTCACTAGTGGAGTCTTCCTGCTGCAGGAGGCCAAGAAGGGAACTATACACGCAAGGGCACCGACGGAGAGGGGGGAGGAGGGGCGTCCTCACCGCTGGAGGGACACTAACTGCTTAAATGTAGTTCCTCTTGTAGTTCAGATTTATACCTTATGGCAATGATATCTTTTATTATGGTGAGCTTTACCTCGTCTCTCCATGGTCTCAATGAAGTGAAACCGAGGAAAAATATAGCTTTACAAATTAGTAAACATTCAAGCATGTTTCACCCTCCAGGGAAAGCAACACATTTGCAAATTTGCGAGAATCCATGTCAGCCCATAAACAGCAGGGGCAAGGAGCTCACTGGGAAAGGAGCATCGCTCCATATCATTTTCTCTAAGGCATAGGGCAGGGACAACCTCACTCACACCACACTCATCCAACCTCACTCAGCGTCCCCCTGATGCCATTCCATCCTACATGCAAGTAAGGTGGGTGGCGAGGACAGCCTTACATCGGTTGCCACAAACATCAGCTTACATCTGACAGCATCAATTTCACACCTAAAACCAAGTCTCGTCATCTCACAACTTAGCCACACCGCTAACAACAAGTTGCTCATCTTCTAGTATTACACTATGGATGAATACACAATATGAATTAACAATAACTTCCTTACACCACAAACAGGCAAGTAAGTGCGTTCTGAAGCATCTAGACGGTTTCGGCCACCCTGTCGCACCTCTCACATTCACCTCTCAGTTCTACGCATATTTCACCAAACAACTAAGAACTGGCCATCACCTGCGACTCTAAATTTCATACATAGGATGACACAGATCAATTTATTACAATATGTTTAATAATATTAAGCAGTTTATACTCTAAAAAACACCAACAATCATTCATATGAAGATCGACAGTCGTCCCTGCGATGCGTGTGAGTATGGCCGTCGCCACAAGAGAGACCCATGTACCAGACATGCAAGACTACCACGGGTGCGAGGACTACAGACACTGGTCAGTGATAGGCCGGGGAGGGGACACGTGCTGGCCACCAGACTCCGCCACTCGTCTTGATTCAATCTTAGTTATCCTGACCACAAAACTTTTCATCGCTATGAGAAGCTTCACTTAGGCACCAATGCAAATTTTAATGTGCTTATTTAAATAACAAAGCCAGATCAAAGTGGAGTTAATCGTGTCGGTTGACTGTCAAGAGTTTGTGTATTCTTAATGGGACGACGTCCGCTTGACGAAGAACTCATAGAATTCCCTTTTAAGGTTGTCTCAAGTCGAGTTGCGGAGTTCCGTTCTTGCCGTGCCGTAATCTTGTGCGTTCTTCCAACATGGCTCCAATTACTCCTTATTGCTAAAAACAAATGCGTTTTGAACGGCAAGATTGAACCTAGCTTAACCGAGGTCCATTCCTACTCACAAGGAGAGCAGAGATGCCTTATTCTAATATTAATTTAGGCTGATAAATCGCAGCAAAAGTTATGTGATAAAGGATAAGCACAGAGGCACATTCGTTAATGCCCTTGCAATGCTCATTACTCTACATAGTTTGTATCAACAGGAGGAGCTGTAGAGGAAACCATAGGAAGCTCATTATTTCCAGGGGAAAAACAGTGAAATATTGAAGGAGAAAGTAGCACTAGGAACAGCCAGAGAATGTAAGAAGGTACTAGCCATGAAACGTCGATAAGACGACAGAATATTGAAAGAGCAAATTCTGTATATTAATAGGTATTAAGAATGAAGGGAAGAGAACAAGGGAGATGGAGGAAGGAGCTTGACCACTGTCAGGGTGCGTTGCTTGAGGAGTGTGTTGACATGGTCTCAGCTGTGCCCGCCACTTGCAATCGCTCTCGTAAGAATGTTTACTAAATGCGTCATACATGACGTAGCACTTGAGCGTTTGCCATGGGTTAAGATTTGATCAGCTTCGTGTAGGAATATCACATGTGACTACCAACACTCGAGGAGTGAGAGAGAAAAACCGGTTGAATGTCAGTGACTGGTGAGGCGTGTGGGGAGAGGGATGACCTGGCGGGTTAATGAGAAAATGTTGACACCAGACACTACAATTGTGGCGGGTTGAAATTTCTCAAAAGAAGCGCGCAATTGAGCTGGGCAAGGATTCATTAGGCTTCTACGTTCTCACTAACGAAACCTGTACATGTTTCCTCGATCTTGGGGGGGGGGGAGGGGCTTACTGTGTATGTATTAAACAGTTTACGAGCTAGGACATCCCAAGGTTATTATACATGATAATGGTCCAGGACGGACCGAAACGTCGTAATTTTCTTTGTTTGCAGATGTGTGGGTTGGGAGTCAGATGTGTAGGTTGGGTGTGCAAGGTAATTATTGTTATACAAAACCTCGTAGTGCCGTAACTCTTAAGCTGTTGAATAATCTTAAAAAAAACAAAACAAAAAAAGCTGCCGTGACTGAAGAAAGATATACTGGTACAATAAGTGGACGCAAGTGCGTGATGACTCGAGGCCCGGGCCAGATTCACGAAGCACTTACGAACCTGTACATCTTTTCTCAATCTTTGGTGGCCTTTTTACAATTATTAAACAGTTAATGAGCTCCGAAGCACCAGGAGGCTGTTTATAACAATAACAACAGTTGATTGGCAAGTTTTCATGCTTGTAAACTGTTTAATGTAAACAAAGCCGTCCCGTCAAAGATTGAGGAAATATGTACAGGTTCGTAAGTACTTGCGTAACTGCTTTGTGAATCTAAGCTGAATGCGCACCACCGTAATGTATTCATTCCTCTTGATCATTAGCGTAACTTTTGATGCCAATTGTGTTGTGTTTTTCTTCCTAAAGCTTTTCAAAGTTAAGCGTTGATTGTTGGTCGAGATGTGGTGGCTAGCTTGAGGCAAGCGTGGCATACCCTACGACGGTCTAACATGCTCCCACAATCTGGGCTCTACCGTACACGTAATACTGAAATTTGAACAATATATTGAATCTCATCATGGCCAGTCTAAACGTTAGCGACGACAGTCAGGAATCAATATTGTTTGTGGGGTTTTGTTAGGCATCAGGTATGTGTGTATTGACAGTAGCATGAGCTTGTGCTGATAATGAAATGTACACGTGTATACCTTGGTGGGGGGATGGGTGTGCACATAAATCAGTGAGCGCATGGGGTGATCGTGTTTACGTTAGTGTATCATATCACAGTAACCATGTGTAGGAATGCGTCTATGGCAGTATACAAGAGCAGCCGTATGAGAGAGAGAGAGAGAGAGAGAGAGAGAGAGAGAGAGAGAGAGAGAGAGAGAGAGAGAGAGAGAGAGAGAGAGAGAGAGAGAGAGAGAGAGAGAGAGAGAGAGAGAGAGAGAGAGAGAGAGAGAGAGAGAGAGAGAGAGAGAGAGAGAGAGAGAGAGAGAGAGAGAGAGAGAGAGAGAGAGAGAGAGAGACAGAGAGACAGACAGAGAGAGAGAGAGACACAGAGAGACAGAGAGACAGACACAGAGAGACAGAGACACAGACAGAGCGCCAGAGAGAGATGGTGTGAAGGATGTATTGATATCCTGCGGCGTGTTATCAGACACTTCTAATGTAAAAGACAAAGACGATAACCATCATGCCACCTGCTATCGCAACCAGCTTAGTACTTTAACTACACTTTCATTTCCAGTGTTTTTAATACTTGCAATCAATGTAATTATATTTAGTTCCATATGTGTTCACATACACACGCATATATTATATACATATACATACATACATATATATATATATATATATATATATATATATATATATATATATATATATATATATATATATATAGCCTATATATATATATAAACCATATATATATATATATATATATCTTTATATAAGTATATATATATATATATATATCCAATATATATATATATATATATATATATATATATATATATATATATATATATATATATATATATATATATATATATATATATATATATATATATATATATATATATATATATATATATATATATATATATATATACATATATATACATATATATATATATATATATATATATATATATATATATATATATATATATATATATATATATATATATATATATATATATATATATATATATACATATACATACTTATATAATATATAAAATCACATATGTATCTTATCTCATACACACGATTAAAAATTGAAGGCATATGTTTCAGAATAGCTTGTATGTCTGTATTAAATTTCTGGAATACAAAATGGTGAAATGCTTCTTGAAAGACTACTTTATCGTTACAATGACAGCACAGCAAGAAAATTTTAAAGACCCTGTTAACGTCAAGCATTCTCTCGAGACTATGGCACCGTCCTGCCCCCCCAGAATTATCCAACTATTTCCTCGCGAGACAGAAAAACACACACACACACACACACACACACACACACACACACACACACACACACACACACACACACACACACACACACACACACACACACACACACACTCACACACACACACACACTCACACACTCACACGTCTGAAAGGCAGTTGAAGAGACAAAGCACCAACGCTCACACAGCATGCAGTCTGAGGAGACGACCGAGTCAGTCGGGGTTTCACCCCCGCGCACCGGCAGGCAGTAGCTCTGGCGAAACAGTGCCACTGATTCGGCCATACCAGTGCCAGACTCTGCTTCTACTACTACTACTAGTAGTATCTGCCTCCAGGGACGACCTCCGAGTGCAAGAGGTGGCCTCCGGTACCAGGTACCTGTAATGGTGCCAGGGACGATCTTGTGAGGTAGGAGCCAGCTCTAAGACTGACTTGCCATGCACAAGTACTAAGCACTTTAACTACTTGTGTCCCCCCCCTCCCAGTACTTGGCACCTGAACCAGGATGGGCTTTAAATGCAAGACACCAATAACAGTAATAACCACAAGTACCAGATACCAGGGATGACGCCCAGTACCTTACACAAGTATCAGGGACGACCGCCAGTGCTAGATATCAACACTATATGGAGAATCTCTGATACAAGATACCAGAACCAGGGGACGACCCAAACTACCAGATACTAGGAGCAGGGAGGACCCCCAAAGTTCCGGATACTAAGATCAGAATGCCCACAGTACCAGATATCAAGACCAGGGACGACTTACAGTACCAGACACCAGAAGCAAGGTCGTCCTCCAGCACCAGATATAACCTTCGCTAGTCATTAGCTCAAGTACCAGACATGAGCACAATTACCAGTGTCAAACACCAATACCAGTAGCGACTACCAGTGTCAGTATCAACCACCAGTAACCAGCAACAACCATGATCACCATGGCTAACCATAAGTGTCACCGGGAAGAATCACAGCAGTGGAGACAAGCTCTCAGCACGACTACAGCGTTTTGGTAGCGTAACCGACGCCTGGCAATCGACTTCACAGTCTGCATGAAATACTAATGTTGGGCGTGAGGGAAATGGAAGCCATCTGGCAAGTAGTTAGCACCGCCATGCCGATACTCTCATCACCACTAGAGGGTAGCATGGGCAGCGGTGCCCAGACGGTCGACACGATGCCACACTCCCACTGACTAGAGGGCAGCGGTGCCCAGACGGTCGACACGATGCCACACTCCTACTGACTAGAGGGCAGCGGTGCCCAGACGGTCGACACGATGCCACACTCCCACTGACTAGGGGCAGCGGTGCCCAGACGATCGACACGATGCCACACTCCCACTGACTAGAGGGCAGCGGTGCCCAGACGGTCGACACGATGCCACACTCCCACTGACTAGAGGGCAGCGGTGCCCAGACGATCGACACGATGCCACACTCCCACTGACTAAAGGGCAGCTGTGCCCAGACAGTCGACACGATGCCACACTCCCACTGACTAAAGGGCAGCTGTGCCCAGACAGTCGACACGATGCCACACTCCCACTGACTAGAGGGCAGCGGTGCCCAGACGGTCGACAAGCTGCCACACTCCCACTTGCTACAAGCTCTTGGCAGTTACCTACTGATAAAATTCGACATCTCCACAGAGAGATAATATAATAACTAAAGGTTCGTGGCAGTGATTTGTAACACGAGTTGCATAAGTCCCGCAATGGTCTCGACCCTGAGGCTGGGGCCGAGGGCGGCACTGAGCCACAGTCTGAGGGGTACAGGGGGCACGTCACATGGTCTCCTGCCTCACCTCCAGGGGTGCAAGGGCACGTCACGTGGTCTCTTGCCTCACCTCCAGGTGCACAGGGGCAAGTCACGTGGTCTCCTGCATCACCTCCAGGGGTTCAAGTGAGGGGAAACCTCGCTTCCCAGGGGACTTCCTGACGCGTTCATAACAGCATCCGGCCACTAGAGGTATAGGGGCTGGTGATGTCATGCCCACAACAAGGGTGAGTTGAGGGCTTCAGCTGATGTCCTCCGGGTTGCAACTTGTGCTATTAGGCCTTATGCAAAGATATCAGGGCCTTATCTATGTCAACTTGCCCGCAGCCAGCATCAGCAGGGCCCTGGACGGTGTTCACGGCCCCTTGAGGAACGACATCAGGTTAACAGCAATATCAACATATAAACCTACGACATCAGTGCCTCGGCTGGCGTCAATCTCAGGAAGTGACATCAGGACTTTAGTTTCCTGACCAGGAGGTTGTCGTCCAGGCCTTAGCTAGGAGACTGAGGACCTCAGCTGGATGCCGTGCCGGCCTCGTCCTTGTCCTCCTCGGTCTCTGTCTCTGGGTCGAGGCCGCGGGTGGCAGTGAGGGTTGACGCCGCCTCCGACACCCCGGCTGGCAGGGAGTTGGTGGGGGCGGCGGTGGTGGATGGCGGGGATGTGATGGAAGAAGTGGGGGTGGAGGTGGTGGAGGTGGAGCCCGGAGCGGAGGGTCCGCTAGCTGCTCCGCCTCCAGCTTCCCCACTGGCGGTGGTGGTAGCCATGGCGCCCAAGACTAGCTTGGAGCGGAGGTTAACAGGAGGATTCGGGGAGGAGTCGCTCTCTGAGCCCGGGGACTGGGTGGTGGGCGTGGTCCTGGGCGTGGTCCTGGGCGTGGTCATGCGGCTGCCGGGGCCCCCGACCTTCCGCCTCCCCGAGTCCAGATGTGAAGGCCGCGCACTCCGAGCATTCGCTGCTTCCGCTTCCCGAGCTGTCTGGAACAAACAGTGTAACAGAACCTGCAAAAATTCACACAACATCTACACTCTTCTAAATCTAAATTAAGACTACCCACACACTCGTCAAATTCATTCCAGATTAATGGCATTATTTTGACTTAAGTAGGTAATTATCATAAGAAGGCACCAAGCCGAGGAAACCATGTAGTACCATATTGAAGCAAGTGAATATATGATGCAAAAAATGTAAACAGTAAAATGACAATTTATTTTTTTTATATTTGTTCAAATACCCCAAGATAATTATTAAAAGTAAAATGAAATGTTAATATATTGCTTATTTTATTTGTAATATTTAGTAAACAGTATGAGTTTTGTAAATAAACATATAGACACGGACTTAACATAGACACCTAGAGTTAAGACTTGTTGGTGTAAATGTCTTTTGAGGACTCTACCTCCGTCAGATTTGGAAAAGTGAAAGTAATTGTTTACTGGACGGAGTAGTTGTAAGGTGAAGTATGAGTATTGTAGTATTGACGTGAATTGACCATGAAGTGAAGTATTGACCATGTCGTAGCTCAGTCGATTAAGGCAGCGTCTGAGATGCTCTCGGATGTAGGTTCGAATCCTCGTCACGGCCCTTGTACTTGTAAGGTGAGCTTCTGCTAGTCCTTCAACGTTCTGTCTTAGGAACTGGGGAAGCTAAATTACTTAGCTCTGGAAATTTAATGTTTGGGATATTGTCATTATGGTCAAATAAAATTTAAATAATTGTCCTCCTAAAACAGTAGTCTGTCAAATAGCGGAGAAGTCGAACCTAGTACCGAAAAAACTCCCGCTACAAACTGTGTTGATGACGATACATTACCTGACTTAGACGGCCAGAGGTCGAGGAGGAACTTGAGAATACTAATAGGCTGATGGAAGTCCATGGGGTCCTCCCCCTCGCTCTGAAGCATCAGCACCGGCCCGAAGCAGATGGCCAAGTTCTGGGTGGTCATCTTGTTGCGCTCCGACTGACTGGCCACCAGCCGCAGGTGGTCCATCAGCAGGAACAACGTCATCTGAGGAGGAGGAGGAAGCGTTACGTACTCATTCCTTACTACTGATTCCATCGCTTTTAAGACACCTACGCAAGACACTCAACCAGTTAGCCACAATATACAAATGTAACGTTCAACGTTGGAGTAACGTTCAATCAACCTTTAATAAACGTTAATAACGTTGAATTGACGCCCATTGTGTATATATATATATATATATATATATATATATATATATATATAAAATTTTGTGAGGGTACCACCTCTGGTGCCAATGTGGGGACCCATAGCCTCGGAGAAGAAAATAAAAAGTATTCAGAGGAGACCTTGTGGTTTCTCACTGAACACTAATATTATCTTCTCCTACCACCCCCATTCTATATATATATATATATATATATATATATATATATATATATATATATATATATATATATATTAACGTAATATGATTTAGATATAACCATCCCAAATATTTATCAAGAAATGTGTATTCCATTCAAAATGATCTAACATCAGAAATTTTAAACAATTATTCCCCCCCCCCCAACAGTTTGTTCACTGTAAGTAGTGCATGCTGGTGGCAGTTACCTTACTACCTTGATAGTTACCTTGGGGTACGATAGTCGGTTACTATCGTCGGTTACGATAGGCAAATTAATATTAGATCCTACTGCTACCTTGGGGAGATCGTCGACGACAGTCACTTACCCTGTTGACCTTTGAGAGACAGCCACTTAACCTGTTGACCTTTGGGGAGACAGTCACTTACCCTGTTGACCTTTGGGGAGACAGCCACTTACCCTGTTGACCTTGGGGAGACAGTCACTTACCCTGTTGACCTTGGGGAGACAGCCACTTACCCTGTTGACCTTTGGGAGACAGTCACTTACCCTGTTGACCTTTGGGGAGACAGTCACTTACCCTGTTGACCTTTGGGGAGACAGTCACTTACCCTGTTGACCTTGGGGAGACAGCCACTTACCCTGTTGACCTTGGGGGAGACAGTCACTTACCCTGTTGACCTTGGGGAGACAGCCACTTACCCTGTTGACCTTTGGGGAGACAGTCACTTACCCTGTTGACCTTGGGGAGACAGCCACTTACCCTGTTGACCTTGGGGGAGACAGTCACTTACCCTGTTGACCTTGGGGAGACAGTCACTTACCCTGTTGACCTTTTGGGGAGACAGTCACTTACCCTGTTGACCTTTGGGGAGACAGTCTCTTACCCTGTTGACCTTGGGGAGACAGCCACTTACCCTGTTGACCTTGGGGAGACAGTCACTTACCCTGTAGACCTTGGGGGAGACAGCCACTTACCCTGTAGACTTAGGGGAGACAGTCACTTACCCTGTAGACTTAGGGGAGACAGCCACTTACCCTGTTGACCTTGGGGAGACAGCCACTTACCCTGTAGACTTAGGGGAGACAGTCACTTACCCTGTAGACTTAGGGGAGACAGCCACTTACCCTGTTGACCTTGGGGAGACAGCCACTTACCCTGTTGACCTTGGGGAGACAGCCACTTACCCTGTTGACCTTGGGGAGACAGTCACTTACCCTGTAGACTTAGGGGAGACAGCCACTTACCCTGTAGACTTAGGGGAGACAGCCACTTACCCTGTTGACCTTGGGGAGACAGCCACTTACCCTGTTGACCTTGGGGAGACAGTCACTTACCCTGTTGACCTTGGGGAGACAGCCACTTACCCTGTTGACCTTGGGGAGACAGTCGAGAATGGAGAACATAAGCTTAGCGTTGCCCTGAGGGTCGTCAGGCAGCATGACGGTGAGCGCGTCCACCAGCATCTGGTACAGACACTTTGTGAAGAGCGGCTCCGGCAGTTCCCGGAGGTAGTCCTTCAAGATGCCTGTAGCAGGGGGAAAGTCACACTCATCAGTCCTCGTGACCCACACGTGCGTCACGGGGCATGAGTGTATAGCATGTCCATGCTTACTTACAGCACACTACGTATGAGGAGTATCGTAGGGGGAAGGGGGGTTATCTTGAGTTGATTTCGGGGCTTTAGTGTCCCCGCGGCCCGGTCCTTGACCAGGCCTCCACCCCCAGGAAGCAGCCCGTGACAGCTGACTAACACCCAGGTACCTATTTACTGCTAGGTAACAGGGGCATTCAGGGTGAAAGAAACTTTGCCCATTTGTTTCTGCCTCGTGCGGGAATCGAACCCGCACCACAGAATTACGAGTCCTGCGCGCTATCCACCAGGCTACGAGGCCCCCTACGAGGCTACGAGGGGGGTAGGTACAACACGTACAGGTACACGTGAGGGGGTGTATGATAGAGGCAGGTACAATGTACAATACAGCTGTGAGGCACAAGTAAAGAGTACAGCTGAGGAGAGGAATAAGGTACACTACAGCTGTGAAGCACATGTTGAAAATATAATTAATTGTAGCTTGTTTACCGTAGTTTAAGTGAATTCTACGAGTCTACGTAGTGAATTCTACGAATTCTCTAGTCTACGAGTGCCACGACTTGCGTAAACTATTGAACTCTGCGTTTTATACAATATAGATATATAATTGCTTTGGTCAGCAGTAACAATACAATTTGAGCAATATTTTTTTTGGCATTAGTGCACAAAGCTCTCACTAACCTGTGATGACATTAATGTCAGGAACGTTGTCAGAGGAGAGGTCGACTAGCCTGGGATTCCTCTCAAAAGCATCCCTGAGGAGGCGTTTTTTGGTGGCCGAGCCACAGAGGCGGTAGAGGCCTATGATGTCTAGGCCACGGCGCTCCACTTCAGCCACACAGCGCGCGATAATTAGAGGCACCGTCCCGCCGCCACTCTCACGGTTCGACACAGAGTCCAGGTCCAGCCCAAAAAGGGAGTTCTTGCGCACCCCGGGTGTCCGTAGGAAGGCCTGTCGAGGCGGAGTGTAGCGTAGCTTGAGGTATAACGTGCCCCGAGGCTCTATCTTTAGTGCTAGCTGATGCAGCGGAGATTCCTTAAGTAAACTCACTAGATGTACCGAACCTTTATAACATAGTTTATGCCTAAATTGTGGATCCCACGAATATATTAAAAAGTCTAATTCTTTGTTATTTATAAGGTCGAGATCGAAGGTCTCGTCCCAGTCGAAGTTGAGGTCTCCGGTTCTGACGACGGTGCGGGCCTTGTGCACGCGGTCGCACTCCAGCACGCAGTACAGGTCCCGGAACTCGGAGCGGCCGGCGGCCTTGAGGCCTCGGCCGGCCAACAGGTGCACCCATAGCATCCCCGACACGCCCTCGCTCACGCCGCCCATGTTCCCCACGCCTACTTTGTACTTCAGGAACTCTGAAAAGGAGAGATGATATTACCTCACAGTAAACCTCTCGCCATACCTCGTGTATACACTTAAAAGTTTACTTACATTTACCTCTATGGTCAAACATGAATTAGAGCGAAAACTTACGCTAAACAGTACTCTCTTAATGATGACTGAGTGTTACCTTCTGATAATATGGTCACTGGCACCTACGCCCCTAACAGCTCTCATCCACAAAGCATCAACAAAAATTACAATACGTGTGCATTTGGCAAACATTATATAGAGAAGACACGGTAATGTGCTTGAAAACACATAACCCAACCCACACAGCCGGGTGTAACACGCCCACACAGCCGGGTGTAACACGCCCACACAGTGGGGTGTAACACGCCCACACAGCTGGGGTGTAACACGCCCACACAGCTGGGTGTAACACGCCCACACAGCTGGGTGTAACACGTCCACACAGCCAGGGTGTAACACGTCCACACAGCCGGGTGTAACACGCCCACACAGCCGGGTGTAACACGCCCACACAGCCGGGTGTAACACGCCCACACAGCCGGGTGTAACACGTCCACACAGCCGGGTGTAACACGTCCACACAGCTGGGTGTAACACGCCCACACAGCCGGGTGTAACACGCCCACACAGCTGGGTGTAACACGCCCACACAGCTGGGTGTAACACGCCCACACAGCTGGGTGTAACACGCCCACACAGCTGGGTGTAACACGCCCACACAGCCGGGTGTAACACGTCCACACAGCCGGGTGTAACACGCCCACACAGCCGGGTGTAACACGCCCACACAGCCGGGTGTAACACGCCCACACAGCTGGGTGTAACACGTCCACACAGCCGGGTGTAACACGCCCACACAGCCGGGTGTAACACGCCCACACAGCTGGGTGTAACGTGCCTACACAGCCGGGTGTAACACGTCCACACAGCCGGGTGTAACACGCCCACACAGCTGGGTGTAACACGCCCACACAGCCGGGTGTAACACGTCCACACAGCCGGGTGTAACACGCCCACACAGCTGGGGTGTAACACGCCCACACAGCTGGGTGTAACACGCCCACACAGCCGGGTGTAACACGCCCACACAGCTGGGTGTAACACGCCCACACAGCCGGGTGTAACACGCCCACACAGCCGGGTGTAACACGCCCACACAGCTGGGGTGTAACACGCCCACACAGCCGGGTGTAACACGCCCACACAGCCGGGTGTAACACGCCCACACAGCCGGGTGTAACACGCCCACACAGCCGGGTGTAACACGCCCACACAGCCGGGTGTAACACGCCCACACAGCCGGGTGTAACACGTCCACACAGCCGGGTGTAACACGCCCACACAGCCGGGTGTAACACGCCCACACAGCCGGGTGTAACACGTCCACACAGCTGGGTGTAACACGCCCACACAGCCGGGTGTAACACGTCCACACAGCTGGGTGTAACACGCCCACACAGCCGGGTGTAACACGCCCACACAGCCGGGTGTAACACGCCCACACAGCCGGGTGTAACACGCCCACACAGCCGGGTGTAACACGCCCACACAGCCGGGTGTAACACGTCCACACAGCCGGGTGTAACACGCCCACACAGCCGGGTGTAACACGTCCACACAGCTGGGTGTAACACGCCCACACAGCTGGGTGTAACACGTCCACACAGCTGGGGTGTAACACGTCCACACAGCCGGGTGTAACACGCCCACACAGCTGGGTGTAACACGCCCACACAGCCGGGTGTAACACGCCCACACAGCTGGGTGTAACACGCCCACACAGCCGGGTGTAACACGCCCACACAGCCGGGTGTAACACGCCCACACAGCTGGGTGTAACACGCCCACACAGCTGGGTGTAACACGCCCACACAGCCGGGTGTAACACGCCTACACAGCCGGGTGTAACACGCCCACACAGCCGGGTGTAACACGCCCACACAGCCGGGTGTAACACGCCCACACAGCCGGGTGTAACACGCCCACACAGCCGGGTGTAACACGCCCACACAGCTGGGTGTAACACGCCCACACAGCCGGGTGTAACACGCCCACACAGCCGGGTGTAACACGCCCACACAGCCGGGTGTAACACGTCCACACAGCCGGGTGTAACACGCCCACACAGCCGGGTGTAACACGCCCACACAGCCGGGTGTAACACGCCCACACAGCCGGGTGTAACACGTCCACACAGCTGGGTGTAACACGCCCACACAGCCGGGTGTAACACGCCCACACAGCCGGGTGTAACACGCCTACACAGCCGGGTGTAACACGCCCACACAGCCGGGTGTAACACGCCCACACAGCCGGGTGTAACACGCCCACACAGCCGGGTGTAACACGCCCACACAGCCGGGTGTAACACGCCCACACAGCCGGGTGTAACACGCCCACACAGCCGGGTGTAACACGCCCACACAGCCGGGTGTAACACGCCCACACAGCCGGGTGTAACACGCCCACACAGCCGGGTGTAACACGCCCACACAGCCGGGTGTAACACGCCCACACAGCCGGGTGTAACACGCCCACACAGCCGGGTGTAACACGCCCACACAGCCGGGTGTAACACGCCCACACAGCCGGGTGTAACACGCCCACACAGCCGGGTGTAACACGCCCACACAGCCGGGTGTAACACGCCCACACAGCCGGGTGTAACACGCCCACACAGCCGGGTGTAACACGCCCACACAGCCGGGTGTAACACGCCCACACAGCCGGGTGTAACACGTCCACACAGCTGGGTGTAACACGCCCACACAGCCGGGTGTAACACGCCCACACAGCCGGGTGTAACACGCCTACACAGCCTGGGGTGTAACTTCTACCTGTGCATCTGGCTGGAATAGCTCACTCAACACCCAGGCCAGTGTGGCCTGTCATTCTCTGAGCAGCGTGACACAAACACTGGAAAAGCTTAATCAAGACTCAAAATACTCATACTACACTGAAGTAACTTTAAGGGTGGTAAGTGTAGCCGGGGCTACACTTACGACTGTACACACATTACTGTTATTGTTATTAGCAGCGACCAGCCAGGGAAGTGTAGTCTTCACCTGCGGACCAACACTGTCTGAGGACGAGTGACAGCCAAGCTCTTGTTACTAAAATATAATTGCTTTCATTTATGAGTGTTTTTTTGTAACCTATCTTGAGGTTATCTTGAGATGATTTCGGGGTTTTAGTGTCCCCGCGACCCGGTCCTCGACCAGGCCTCCACCCCCAGGAAATAGCCCGTGACAGCTGACTAACTCCAAGGTACCTATTTACTGCTTTACGCATATAAATCCCAATAACCGTGATATATTAAATGAACAAATCCACAAGGGGCTTGCTGGGGGGTTCGAACCTGTGCGCTGGGTGTTCCCAGACGAACTCTAAGTCAACTGCACTAGTCCCAGACTAAAGCCGCGTCTGGGAACATCCTGGGCTTAGGTTCGAAGCCTATATATATATATATATATATATATATATATATATATATATATATATATATATATATATATATATATATATATATATATATATATATATATATATATCGAAGTTCATATATCACTTGCATTAGATTATTAGGGGGGGGGGAAGAGGGGGGTACGTTCGTAGCTGGTATTAGAAGTTGGCTTGAGGATACGTAAGAGAGTTAAGATACACCTAATCAGCTCTCAGCTGATTAGTTGAGTTTTGTAAGACGATTGAGAATCAAAGTTGAGAAGAAGGGCTCTGCCTGGCACAGTCTGCCTGGCACAGTCTGCCTGGCACAGTCTGCCTGGCGTCAGAAGGTTTGTTTCTGAGACTCTAGGATACACGGCAGTATCCTAGAGCCTCACAAAGCCTAGAGCCTATATTTGGCACTGAACATCTTGATACGTATGTAAAGAAGAACCGGCGTTGAAGGCGTATGTGAAGAAGAGCCGGCGTTGAAGACGTGCGTGAAGAAGAACCGGCGTTGAAGACGTGCGTGAAGAAGAACCGGCGTTGAAGACGTGCGTGAAGAAGAACCGGCGTTGAAGACGTGCGTGAAGAAGAACCGGCGTTGAAGACGTGCGTGAAGAAGAACCGGCGTTGAAGACGTATGTGAAGAAGAACCGGCGTTGAAGACGCATGTGAAGAAGAACCGGCGTTGAAGACGCATGTGAAGAAGAACCGGCGTTGAAGACGCATGTGAAGAAGAACCGGCGTTGAAGACGCATGTGAAGAAGAACCGGCGTTGAAGACGCATGTGAAGAAGAACCGGCGTTGAAGACGTACGTGAAGAAGAACCGGCGTTGAAGACGTGCGTGAAGAAGAACCGGCGTTGAAGACGTGCGTGAAGAAGAACCGGCGTTGAAGACGTATGTGAAGAAGGCCCATCACCACATACATCGGCGTCGGTGTAGAGCTGGCAGAGATCCAGGCTATCAAGTGATAGTGTATACACCTAAGAGAGCCGGCTTCCTGTCCCCCGCCAAGGGCACTAAAGAGATGGCGGCCCTGAGGTACAATTCAGGTAAACCAACGTGATCCCAATAGATCGTTTGTCAATGTTTATGTTAATAGTTATTTTTCTGCTAATGACTTTGTGTTCAGTTTAGCATCATTTCCTTCCGTCACGTATACAAGTTATTTGATACAAATTCGTAATCATATTCGACATAAAGGGGCCATTTAATTTTGTAGACTCGTTTTTATGTCTGGGAAGGTCTTTTGTAGACTCGTTTTAAGTCTGGGAAGGTCTTTTGTAGACTAGTTTTATGTCTGGGAAGGTCTTTAGTAGACTCGTTTTATGCCTGGGAAGGTCTTTAGTAGACTCGTTTTAAGTCTGGGAAGGTCTTTAGTAGACTAGTTTTTTGCCTGGGAAGGTCTTTTGTAGACTCGTTTTAAGTCTGGGAAGGTCTTTTGTAGACTCGTTTTATGCCTGGGAAGGTCTTTAGTAGACTCGTTTTAAGTCTGGGAAGGTCTTTTGTAGACTCGTTTTAAGTCTGGGAAGGTCTTTTGTAGACTCGTTTTAAGTCTGGGAAGGTCTTTTGTAGACTAGTTTTATGTCTGGGAAGGTCTTTTGTAGACTCGTTTTAAGTCTGGGAAGGTCTTTTGTAGACTCGTTTTAAGTCTGGGAAGGTCTTTTGTAGACTCGTTTTAAGTCTGGGAAGGTCTTTTGTAGACTAGTTTTAAGTCTGGGAAGGTCTTTAGTAGACTCGTTTTATGTCTGGGAAGGTCTTTTGTAGACTCGTTTTAAGTCTGGGAAGGTCTTTTGTAGACTAGTTTTAAGTCTGGGAAGGTCTTTTGTAGACTAGTTTTAAGTCTGGGAAGGTCTTTTGTAGACTAGTTTTAAGTCTGGGAAGGTCTTTTGTAGACTCGTTTTTATGTCTGGGAAGGTCTTTTGTAGACTCGTTTTTATGTCTGGGAAGGTCTTTTGTAGACTCGTTTTAAGTCTGGGAAGGTCTTTTGTAGACTCGTTTTAAGTCTGGGAAGGTCTTTTGTAGACTAGTTTTATGTCTGGGAAGGTCTTTAGTAGACTCGTTTTATGCCTGGGAAGGTCTTTAGTAGACTCGTTTTAAGTCTGGGAAGGTCTTTTGTAGACTCGTTTTAAGTCTGGGAAGGTCTTTAGTAGACTCGTTTTAAGTCTGGGAAGGTCTTTTGTAGACTCGTTTTAAGTCTGGGAAGGTCTTTTGTAGACTAGTTTTATGTCTGGGAAGGTCTTTTGTAGACTAGTTTTTATGTCTGGGAAGGTCTTTTGTAGACTAGTTTTAAGTCTGGGAAGGTCTTTTGTAGACTAGTTTTAAGTCTGGGAAGGTCTTTTGTAGACTCGTTTTAAGTCTGGGAAGGTCTTTTGTAGACTCGTTTTAAGTCTGGGAAGGTCTTTTGTAGACTAGTTTTATGTCTGGGAAGGTCTTTTGTAGACTAGTTTTTATGTCTGGGAAGGTCTTTTGTAGACTAGTTTTAAGTCTGGGAAGGTCTTTTGTAGACTAGTTTTAAGTCTGGGAAGGTCTTTTGTAGACTCGTTTTAAGTCTGGGAAGGTCTTTTGTAGACTCGTTTTAAGTCTGGGAAGGTCTTTTGTAGACTCGTTTTAAGTCTGGGAAGGTCTTTTGTAGACTCGTTTTAAGTCTGGGAAGGTCTTTTGTAGACTCGTTTTAAGTCTGGGAAGGTCTTTTGTAGACTAGTTTTATGTCTAGGAAGGTCTTTTGTAGACTAGTTTTTATGTCTGGGAAGGTCTTTTGTAGACTAGTTTTATGTCTGGGAAGGTCTTTTGTAGACTAGTTTTAAGTCTGGGAAGGTCTTTTGTAGACTAGTTTTTATGTCTGGGAAGGTCTTTTGTAGACTCGTTTTATGTCTGGGAAGGTCTTTTGTAGACTAGTTTTTATGTCTGGGAAGGTCTTTTGTAGACTAGTTTTTATGTCTGGGAAGGTCTTTTGTAGACTAGTTTTATGCCTGGGAAGGTCTTTAGTAGACTCGTTTTATGTCTGGGAAGGTCTTTTGTAGACTCGTTTTATGTCTGGGAAGGTCTTTTGTAGACTCGTTTTAAGTCTGGGAAGGTCTTTTGTAGACTCGTTTTAAGTCTGGGAAGGTCTTTTGTAGACTAGTTTTATGTCTGGGAAGGTCTTTTGTAGACTAGTTTTTATGTCTGGGAAGGTCTTTTGTAGACTAGTTTTTATGCCTGGGAAGGTCTTTTGTAGACTAGTTTTTATGTCTGGGAAGGTCTTTTGTAGACTAGTTTTATGCCTGGGAAGGTCTTTAGTAGACTCGTTTTATGTCTGGGAAGGTCTTTTGTAGACTCGTTTTATGTCTGGGAAGGTGCTGGCGTCAGAGCCTCCCTGGGTGACGTGAGAGTTGGTCAGCTCTCCGGGTCTCTCCTCACGTCAGTGCACTGCGGGTGCTGGTCAGGTGGAGGCGGTGGTGTCACCACTCTTAAGTATGTTATGGTATGTTTTATACCACTTTTGTTAGTATAAAACATAAACCCCCATGGAACAGGGGTTTATGACCCTGTGTGGTGAAAAAGAAAACATCTCCCGTGCTCAGTCCTACATTGTGGCTCGTTGAGTTCGCAACCGTTGCTCCTTTTTGTGTTCCAGCTGATCTTGTCCCATTGTACCAGTGTAGAGGAGGCGTGTGGTGGGTGGAGGCGTGTAGTGGGTGGAGGCGTGTTGAGGGTACCGCGGTGAATGACTGCCGCAGGCGCGGGAAGCAGGGGCCAGATTCACGAAAGCACTTACGAACCTGTACATCTTTTCTCAATCTTCGGCGGCTTTGTTTACAATTATTAAACAGTTAATGAGCTCCGAAGCACCAGGAGGCTGTTTATAACAATAACAACAGTTGATTGGCAAGTTTTCATGCTTGTAAACTATTTAATAAACGTAACCAAAGCCGTCAAAGATTGAGGAAAGATGTACACGTTCGTAAATGCTTGCGTAAGTGCTTTCCTGAATCTGGCCCCAGGCTGGTACAGAAGCGGCTTGACTTCAGGAAAGCAGAGTATGAGCCGTGCTTGCCATTAGACAGCACGAGTAATGCGGCCACATTCTGCGGTGTGAACACTGTTATGTAGGTTATTATTACAGCGATTGTGTGACCGGCTCTCTGTTTCAAGCTCCTATTAGTCCCAAGGGTCCCGTCACTCACAAGGCTCCATTAGTCCCCAAGGCTCCATTAGTTCTAAGGCCTCATTAGTCCAAAGGACCCATTAGTACCGTTTCAGAGAGGCTGGTTGAAGATTGATGATTTAGGTTAATATTTCCACTTGTTATCAATCGTAATGTTTTCTCACAGACATAATAACATAGGATAAAAAAAACCCACACTTGTGTATATGTGAAATTTATGTAAGGAATTTACACCAAATTCCTTACATGGTGTAAATTCCTTACATAAATTTCACTAAGACACAAGTGTGGCTTTTTATCCTATTTATTCTATTTCCAGTGATGTTAATATCCCCATATATCCTATAATTATAACCGCATTATAGTCATAGGTTCAATGTTAAGAGGAATCCCCCATCCCCCCGACGAAATAAAAAGTTTAAATTACAGCTAATTTAGAGAAGGCAAGAGTGAGCTACTTGAGCCGGAGGTTCGTACAGTTGTCATATACACAGGTGGCCTTTGTTTACAAGTTGTTGTGAAGGCCGGCACTACAGCCTCCGGCCAGGAACACAAGCAGCATTAAATCCTAAACCTTAAACAAATTTGGATCAAGCGAGACATTTCTAGGGCCTTCATAATAAGTTTGATAAAAGTTACGTTTATTTCCTCGTCAGGGCATCTTTCACAAAACCATAAACATTCCCCCCCCCCAACGAAAAATAACAAATGTAGATTACAAAATATCCTCTGTGAGGCAGCTCCCAATGACCAACACCCCCCCAAAAATAATAGCAAGTTCGGTCTCTCAAATTTATAAAATGTGTTTGGAACAATTTTGCAAAGCAAGTTAGGCCGCCTGAGCGGAGAGCAGCCCGTCGGAAAACTCTCGAGCGCCTCCCGGGTAAAGCAAGTAACATTAAAGTAATGACTCGGTGGGGGGGATGGTGTTGGGGGAGGAGGAGGAGGAGAGGAAGGGAGCCAAGGGCTGACCTGCAGGATTGATGTCGATGAGTCTGAGGGCGGGTCTGCCGCGGGTGGGTGACGGATGCGGCACCCCCCGCGCCTCCTCCAGCGCCGCCCTCACCCGTCGGGACGGCGTCTCCAGCCTACCCAGCTGCCGGGACGCGCTGCCCACGCCGCCCACGCCCAGGTGCAGCCGCTGCATGTAGTACGGCGCCTCCTGCAACACAGCCGCGGCTTACTGGGGTGTGTTGGGGCACAGGGCGTGTCGCTAGGGACACGGTGGATGTGGCTGGGAAGAGGTGCTGGGTACGAGCAAGTGTGGCTGGGTATAGGACAGTGTTGCTGGGTATATGGAGCCCTTGCTGGCTACAGAGGGATGCTCATGTGATAAGTTTAACATGACCACATACAAACAAAAGGATTTATAACAACCCGGAGTACGACCAAATACAGTTACCACACGGGGGATGTTTCTGGGTACAGAAGGTGTTGCTGATTACACGGGGGGGGGGGGTTGTTAGGGACAAGTGTAATTGATAGGTACAGAGGGTGTTGCTAGGTACAGACGGGTGTTGCTAAGTACAGACGGGTGTTACTAGGTACAGAGGGGGTGTTGCTAGGTTCAGAGGGGGGGGGGGGTTGCTAGGTGCAGAGGGGGTATTGCTAAGTACAGAGGGGGTGTTACTAGGTACACGGGTCGAAGGAGGTCGAGGGGAAAGGGTCACCAAATACAAAGTGCGTTTTACTGGTTACAGGAAGCAGTGGTTGGGTACTGGGGAGTGTTGATGGGTACAGGGGGGGGGGGGAGGAAGGGGTAGTACTGGGTACAAGGAGGGTTTGCTGGGGGCACTAGGGGGGGGGGAGGTGTTGTCGAGTACCTAAAGTGTAACTGGGCACTGGAGCAGGGTATTGGGCGTATCGTTTGTGCTTTAAACACAGTCAACATTGAATGTTTAATCTCGTGTAATAGTTAATTTTATGCTTGATCATGTACATATATTATTATATATATATATATATATATAACTTTTTAGACACTCAACCCACCAGGAGACTCGAACACTGGCCAACAAGGTGGCAGTTGCATGCTGTATCCACTACGCTATACTTCAAAGCCAAAAGAGAGGTAGGAATTCTGGGGTATTTAACCAACCAGAATTCCAATCCTCTCCCAGGCGATGAGATAGTGTGGGACCTCGGATGCTCTTTCATCGGGTCCTGTTATATGGGAAAACTCAGTGCCAAATGCTTAATGCACAGACTACCCTATTCCAGTAGCTGAAGTTTATAACTTTTTAGACACTCAACCCACCAGGAGACTCGAACACTGGCCAACAAGGTGGCAGTTGCATGCTGTATCCACTACGCTATACTTCAAAGCCATAAGAGAGGTAGGAATTCTGGGGTATTTAACCAACCAGAATTCCAATCCTCTCCCAGGCGATGAGATAGTGTGGGACCTCGGATGCTCTTTCATCGGTTCCTGTTATATGGGAAAACTCAGTGCCAAATGCTTAATGCACAGACTACCCTATTCCAGTAGCTGAAGTTTATAACTTTTTATAAACTTATAAAGCTTTATAAAGCTTATAAAGCTTTATAAAGCTTTGAAGTATAGCGTAGTGGATACAGCATGCAACTGCCACCTTGTTGGCCAGTGTTCGAGTCTCCTGGTGGGTTGAGTGTCTAAAAAGTTATAAACTTCAGCTACTGGAATAGGGTAGTCTGTGCATTAAGCATTTGGCACTGAGTTTTCCATATAACAGGACCCGATGAAAGAGCATCCGAGGTCCCACACTATCTCATCGCCTGGGAGAGGATTGGAATTCTGGTTGGTTAAATACCCCAGAATTCCTACCTCTCTTTATGGCTTTGAAGTATAGCGTAGTGGATACAGCATGCAACTGCCACCTGTTGGCCAGTGTTCGAGTCTCCTGGTGGGTTGAGTGTCTAAAAAGTTATAAACTTCAGCTACTGGAATAGGGTAGTCTGTGCATTATATATATATATATATATATATATATATATATATATATATATATATATATATATATATATATATATAATGTGAGTGTATGTAAATCACGAGGAAATTAACACGTGATGAACAATGTGACAATATCAGACCACGAAGGAAGGATTAAGACGGGAACTTCCTTAAGGAAATCCCTGTCTTAATCCTTCTTTCTGTGGTCTAACATTTTCAAATAAATTATATATAAAATATATATACATTGGCAGGGGACATGTGGCACTGCGAGGCCAATTCCCCCCGCCCTCCCGAGGCAGGGGAGAGGGATGGGGGTGGCACGCCATGGCATCAATAACAGCTGAAGAGTCATCAAGTGATGACTCTTCGAGGCAGTGAATCCGGCTTTGGATTCGTTCTTGTAAACAATAACAACGATTGCTGCTGCCGCCGTCTGTTGGAAGACTTATTTTCCAAGAAAGCTGCAGCCCGTCCTCATTAACATTAGCCTTTTTTATCGCTAGCTCCAGGATAGCCTTTGGTGTCGCTAGCTCCAGGATAGCCTTTGGTGTCGCTAGCTCCAGGATAGCCTTTGGTGTCGCTAGCTCCAGGATAGCCTTTGGTGTCGCTAGCTCCAGGATAGCCTTTGGTGTCGCTAGCTCCAGGATAGCCTTTGGTATCGCTAGCTCCAGGATAGCCTTTGGTGTCGCTAGCTCCAGGATAGCCTTTGGTATCGCTAGCTCCAGGATAGCCTTTGGTAACGCTAGCTCCAGGATAGCCTTTGGTGTCGCTAGCTCCAGGATAGCCTTTGGTATCGCTAGCTCCAGGATAGCCTTTGGTGTCGCTAGCTCCAGGATAGCCTTTGGTGTCGCTAGCTCCAGGATAGCCTTTGGTGTCGCTAGCTCCAGGATAGCCTTTGGTATCGCTAGCTCCAGGTTCCAGGATAGCCTTGCAGACTAGATTTCATTGCTCATGTGACGTAAAGGAAAAGGTTGTTGACACGAATTAATTCAAACAAGACGAAACAAATCACACTTGAGAAAATAATGTCAACATATTAAAACTGGTACTGACAGTGGAAAGATGTTTTTTTTACGAAAATGAGCCAAATTTACGATACTCGGCGAACTTGTGCAGTTCGAATGTTGTTATACATTTGGTGTATTCGACAAGTGAAGAGCCAGAGAACACTTGACACGTGTTCATCGCTGGTTCCTCAGCTCCTACAGCCTGGCGAGATTGTCACGGGAGCAAAATTAATGGATTTACAAAATTGTTGCAAAGCTGTTAGGAATACAGCAGTCTGATCCTGCTTCAACTGACAAGAATGCCTTGAAGCAGAGTGCGTGCTTGCGTCACGCTTCCTGCTGCACGCCCACTCATTCCTCTTATTGAATTGACCTATTTTTATTATATATTTGACCCAGTTGTGCTATATAGGTATCCCAATTGTGTCATTGACAATTGTGCTATATAGTTAACCAAACTGAGTTATATTATTGACCTAATTGTGAGAATGAATGAGCATTTCCATGTTTTCTAGCACCCAAACCTTTTGCTTTCCTGTAATTATGCTCTATAAAGCATAATGATGTTTGACTAGAATTGACTATTGCATACTGACTATTAACCTTAACTATTACACGATGAATGTCTGTATCTAAGTAATTATCAAAAAAATAAAAAATGTCTGTATCTAAGTAATTATCAAAAAAATAAAAAATGTCTGTATCTAAGTAATTATCAAAAAAATAAAAAAAGGCGTCAAGCAGAGGAGACTCTGAAGCATCACCAAAGTTGCAGGATATGGAAAAGGCGCGAAATACCACTGAGGATACCAATACGATAACAAAGGCGCACAAGGCGAACGATATCAAAGATATCTGATTCACTAAAGATTCAGTCGAAGGACAATGACCGCGAGGAACAGTAGTAGTAGTAGTAGGCATCCATCAGTCTCATGAGACTATAGACTTGCGTACTGGCGTCGGCCTGGTCTGGAGTGGTCTCACCAGGGTACAAAGCCAGGGTAGGTTGATTCGGGGAAGAAGCTGTTACCCATGCAGCAGGTCTCCTCCCTTCTCCACGGCGCTGAAAGTCTCCAGTGGAAAGGCATACACCAATACGATTGGTGTATGCCAATGGTGTATGTTCCCGCGAGGAACAGTCGGGGGTTTTAATCAAACTGTTCATCGTATGATGAACAGTTTGACGACAATTTAACCATCACATGAAGAATGTTTTGGCTATAGAGTACAGCATGACTGGCAACATCACTGGCACGGAGTGTGTCGTCAAGTTCGACCTGGTCAAGTGCTAACTGAAGAAGCCCCTTGACAAGAGAGGCCAAAGAGGAGGGCTTCTGATCTAGTGATGCAGAATGCACTTTGTGAATATGGCGCTATTGATGATATCTAGTATTAAGACTGCTGCCCTTCATCTTTGTAAACGCACATTATCGACACTATGTAAAAAGACACCTCGAACACTATGTAGGACAGACGTAAGTCTGTATATGGAAGTTAGATTAGCATTTTAAAAGCACTGCAGTCACCCTCTGTGGTTGATTGTTCAATCACTGAACTATATGCTTAACAGATATCTAACGCTCTTCACGGAGGACAGAAGAAAATGTATATATGCTGGTCAGCATTGTAAATGTGTGGCCAAGTCTGTGGTAGAAAAATAGTAACAATAATAATAAAAAAATGTTTCATCTCAGAGCCTAGTGTACCAGGTGATACAACGATCTTCTGGTGTGCCTGCTCAAGGTGTACCAGGTGCTCACGCCTGCTCAAGGTGTACCAGGTGCTCACGCCTGGTCAAGGGGTACCAGGTGCTCACGCCTGGTCAAGGGGTACCAGGTGCTCACGGGTCAAGGGGTACCAGGTGCTCACGCCTGCTCAAGGTGTACCAGGTGCTCACGCCTGCTCAAGGTGTACCAGGTGCTCACGCCTGGTCAAGGGGTACCAGGTGCTCACGCCTGGTCAAGGGGTACCAGGTGCTCACGCCTGCTCAAGGTGTACCAGGTGCTCACGCCTGCTCAAGGTGTACCAGGTGCTCACGCCTGGTCAAGGGGTACCAGGTGCTCACGCCTGGTCAAGGTGTACCAGGTGCTCACGCCTGGTCAAGGTGTACCAGGTGCTCACGCCTGCTCAAGGTGTACCAGGTGCTCACGCCTGGTCAAGGTGTACCAGGTGCTCACGCCTGCTCAAGGTGTACCAGGTGCTCACGCCTGGTCAAGGGGTACCAGGTGCTCACGCCTGCTCAAGGTGTACCAGGTGCTCACGCCTGGTCAAGGTGTGAATTCATTCACTGATAATCCGGTAGTTACCACACTTTGAAAGAATTTGTTGAGCGGCAGATAGAGTATTAGAGAGTCTGAATATAGCAGGTCTAAAAACGTTACCAGAAGTGACTTAGTTCACAAGAGACTTCCCTCGGCCATGTGGTCGACCAATGTAAAGTTGTTCACTTTACTGCTAACACAAAATAACCCAGACACCTTCCCACTTTGGAAAACAAGAGCCCACGAGGTTCCATGGTCCTGTTATACGCGGTATAACAGGACGCGTCCACAGACTGAGCCTACAGTTCTCTCACACAGTCACCCCCGTCTTCAATCTTCTAAGGTCCAATAACAAGTTCTTGTTGACCTACAAGTTACAAAATGGATCACCGGTACTACAGTCTCAACACACGCTACAGTCGGTCATTAAGCTCGACATTATACCCTCTATTTGATATGTAACTGAACCATATAAGTATTGTTTACTCTTTAAACCCCCTGCACTGCACATCTGTTTTTGGCAAAAAAGCTTCAAAGTGAAATTGTTATGGACATATTTTTGTTGTTTTTATAAATGTTCTGGTAAAGTTAATGTCAAAATGTTTCCAAACTAAACTATTTTCATTTCAAAACACAAAGAGTAATGAAAACATTAAAAATATTAAAATATAGCCTAATTAAAAACAAAATCGGACGACTCTCAAAACATTGGTTGGCCGGCGCAGTCGAGGGGTTAAGCAGGACATTGATACATACATCAAAATCTTTGGAAAGATTGTGAGTTTTATTCTATAAGTTAACCGGATCGCCTCTCGCCTTCTAAGGAGGGGAGAGCGCGCCAGACACCATCAGCCAATGATCCCAGCTCCTCTGTCCCTCTCGTTCTCACTTAGTCTTGAGAAAAATGGCTCCTTACGATATCTTGAGTGACGAACACACCTCTTGAGAGCGGAGTGAGGTGCGTGGCAGCTCTTAGGTGAGGCGGCGCCAGACTGTCCGATCTTCATAAATTTGATCCCAACTTTGTATGTACACAACATATCTAACTCCTTGTATTGCAAACGTATATATACTATTTCGGTTCTTCTTTCAGTACTGAAGTTGTCACTGAAATTTATTCAGGCGTCCAGTTAACATGTTTGTTTATGAGTGATTCGACATTAAAAGTAACACTGGATATTGAGATCGACGCACTTAATCCCCCTAAAGTGGATGAAGTGCGTAGCCTAGTAAAGTAACAACTTTACTACTTGACCTAGTGATCTGATATGTTGATTTTGTTATGTTATTCACTTGCCTTCTGCTCTGTGATTATTCCCGAGATTGCCAGGGGCCAGGATTCACGAAGCAGTTACGCAAGTACTTACGAACGTGTACATCTTTCCTCAATCTTTGACGGCTTTGGTTACATTTATTAAACAGTTTACAAGCATGAAAACTTCCCAACCAACTGTTGTTATTGTTATAAACAGCCTCCTGGTGCTCCGGAGCTCATTAACGGCTTAATAATTGTAAACAAAGCCGCCAAACATTGAGGAAAGATGTACAGGTTCGTAAGTGCTTGCGTAACTGTTTCGTGAATCTGGCCCCAGGGAGCTTGAAGCCACGCTGCCAGATCTAGAAAATATAGACACAGAAGGGTTTCGGGGCATTATAGACATAAACATTCATTAGCATCAATCTATAAGACTTGCTTTATGTAGCGGTTACGTGTTCATTAGTTAGTACAAGTTTGCAGCTCGTCTGTAACGTGAGTACAGATGATTACACAAAACTGTACGCACCTAGTTGTGCTTGGGGTGGTTGAGCTCTGGCTCTTTGGTCCCACCTGTGTTTACGCGAATGAATGGGTGCGTGAGTTTGTACTTACGTGTGTATATGCGTGCATACATGCGTGCGTTTGCGTGCGTGTGTGTGTGTGCACTGACCTAGCTCCGTTTGCGGGACTTGGGCTGCAGCTCCCGTCCTAAACGCTCATATAATATCTATCTATTGGCTTAATTGAACCCTAATCGTATCCACATTTGAAACATTGTATGAAGCCAGCCAGAGAAGTGGGTGTATCTCCCTGGCTCATCCGGGGCCTCGGTACACTCACCTAGATCTAGGCACCTAGACACACTCTTCCAGATGCCCTCATCTAGAGGCACTCACCTAGATGAACTCGCCAATATGCACCTTTTAAAATTGTATATGGAGTGTGTTTCTACAACCCGCACCTTTAGTTTAGAGTGTGTTAAGTGGCTTACTGTTAAACCGAAGTGAATCATAACAAGGTTTTATTTAACATGTTCATCAGTATTACCAAATACATTACAGTAAAAAGACGAGGTATATACACTCTATAGAGTGCAAGCATGACCCAGCGGTCGGCATTACTGCTCACCACCACTATCACCCCCCCCCATCACCAACCCCCACCACCTCCCTCCCCCCATCACCCCACCAGCATGGCCTACCGCTTACCTCTCTGGTCTTCTCAGTGAGGTTCTCGGCGCTGTACGTGAACCGCAGTCCGCCGCGCTGGGAGCGGAGGGTCTCGTGTGACTGTCGTATCCGCTCGTAGATGGCGCTGGTGGAGGGCGCCCGGCTCATCCAGGCCCGGTACTCGTCAGAGGTGAAGATGGAGGGCGAGGAGGGAAGCCGCGCTGCAAGCACACAGTCTCGTTATTAACCAACCTCGCTCACGCTGCTCCTCTTAACACTAACACCACTTTAACTCAACACTATTCAAGTAAGTGGCAGTTACTAGGCATTTCAGTAACGCAACTGTTATATCAACAAGTGCTATGATTCGAATGGTGCTTTAATTTATATATATAAAAAGAGGCTTTCTTAAAATTGTAATTGACTCAGAAAATGACGATTACGTTAATAGCCTTGAATATTACAAGTGTAAACTTCTTACTTTAAAAACAAGTAGGAGAAAATGGACACGAGGCTTGAGGGAAGGATGGGGGGAGGCATCAGAGTAGAGAGAGTTAAACAAGAGGGAAGAAAATATGGCTGTTGATTGTCTTGTGTAGTGTCACTCAGCCAGCCATGCTCCACATGTATCACCATGCTCCACATGTATCATCATGCTCCACATGTATCACCATGCTCCACATGTATTACCAGGCTCCTCATGTATCACCAGGCCCCTCATGTATCACCATGCTCCTCACGTATCACCATGCTCCACATGTATTACCATGCTCCTCATGTATCACCATGCTCCTCATGTATCACCATGCTCCTCACGTATCACCATGCTCCTCATGTATCACCATGCTCCACATGTATCACCATGCTCCACATGTATCACCATGCTCCACATGTATCACCAGGCTCCACATGTATTACCAGGCTCCAAATGTATCACCATGCTCCACATGTATCACCATGCTCCTCATGTATCACCATGCTCCTCACGTATCACCATGCTCCACATGTATCACCATGCTCCTCATGTATCACCATGCTCCTCACGTATCACCATGCTCCAAATGTATCACCATGCTCCACATGTATTACCAGGCTCAACATGTATCACCAGGCTCCAAATGTATCACCATGCTCCTCATGTATCACCAGGCCCCTCATGTATCATCATGCTCCTCATGTATCACCATGCTCCTCATGTATCATCATGCTCCACATGTATCACCATGCCTCACATGTATCACCAGGCTCCACATGTATCACCATGCTCCACATGTATCACCATGCCTCACATGTATCACCAGGCTCCACATGTATCACCAGGCTCCACATGTATTACCATGCTCCAAATGTATCACCAGGCTCCACATGTATCACCATGCTCCTCACGTATCACCATGCTCCACATGAATCATCATGCTCCACATGTATCATCATGCTCCTCATGTATCACCATGCTCCTCACGTATCACCATGCTCCTCATGTATCACCATGCTCCTCACGTATCACCATGCTCCTAACGTATCACCATGCTCCTCACGTATCACCATGCTCCCCACGTATCACCATGCCTCACCATGTTCCACATGTATCACCATGCACCACATGTATCACCATGCTCCACATGTAAACAGCATGCTCCACATGTATCACCATGCCCCACATGTAAACAGCATGCTCCACATGTATCACCATGCTCCACATGTATCTCCATGCTCCACATGTATCACCATTCTCCACAAGTATCACCATGCTCCACATGTATCATCATGCTCCTCATGTATCACCATGCTCCACATGTATCACCATGCTCCATATGTATCACCATGCTCCACATGTATCACCATGCTCCACATGTATCACCATGCTCCACATGTATCGCCATGCTCCACATGTATCACCATGCTCCACATGTATCACCATGCTCCGTATGTATCACCATGCTCCACATGTATCACCATGCTCCACATGTATCACCATGCTCCGTACGTATCACCATGCTCCACATTTATCACCATGCTCCACATGTATCACCATGCTCCACATGTATCACCATGCTCCGTATGTATCACCATGCTCCACATGTATCACCAGGCTCCTCACGTATCACCAGGCTCCTCACGTATCATGCTCCATATGTATCATCATGCTCCATATGTATCATCATGCTCCACATGTATCACCATGCTCCACATGTATCACCAGGCTCCACATGTAAACAGCATGCTCCACATGTAAACAGCATGCTCCACATGTATCACCATGCTTCATATGAATCACCATGCTCTACATGTATCACCATGCTCCACATGTATCACCATGCTCCACATGTAAACAGCATGTTCCACATGCACCTTCATGCTCCACTTGCACCGATGTGCTCCAATAGTATAGCCATGCTCCTCTTTTATCCAACATACCCAACTAGTGCCGCCATGCTCCACCACCCCTTCATGCTCCACTTGCACCGCCATGCTCCACTTTTACCACCATGCTCCACTTGTACCACCATGCTCCACTTGTACCACCATGCTCCACTTGCACCACCATGCTCCACTTTTACCACCATGCTCCACTTGTACCACCATGCTCCACTTGTACCACCATGCTCCACTTGTACCACCATGCTCCACTTGCACCGCCATACTCCACTTGCACCGCCATGCTCCACTTACACCACCATGCTCCACTTGCACCTCCATGTTCCACCTTCACCCCATGCTCCATGTGCACCCACATGCTCCGCGTGCACCCTTACGAATCATTTGTACACCTATGTACCACCTGCACATTCACGACTCACCTGTACCACTGTATCCCAATGTACCGTATCCCTGCACCTCAATGTACCTCTGTAGTTTTATGCTCCAACTGTGTATTCATGCTCCAGGAGGACTTCAGAGCCCCGCTGTACCTCAGAGCATCACTCTGTACCTTACACATCGTGTACATTATTGAGCCCTACACATCCTGTGTATTATTGAGCCCTACACATCCTGTACATTATTGAGCCCAACACATTATTGAGTCCTACACATCCTGTACATTATTGAGCCCTACACATCCTGTACATTATTGAGCCCTACACATCCTGTACATTATTGAGCCCTACACATCCTGCACATTATTGAGCCCTACACATCCTGTACATTATTGAGCCCAACACATTATTGAGTCCTACACATCCTGCACATTATTGAGCCCTACACATCCTGTACATTATTGAGCCCTACACATCCTGTACATTATTGAGCCCTACACATCCTTTACATTATTGAGCCCTACACATCCTGTACATTATTGAGCCCTACACATCCTGTATATTATTGAGCCCTACACATCCTGCACATTATTGAGCCCTACACATCCTGTACATTGAGCCCTACACATCCTGCACATTATTGAGCCCTACACATCCTGCACATTATTGAGCCCTACACATCCTGTACATTATTGAGCCCTACACATCCTGCACATTATTGAGCCCTACACATCCTGCACATTATTGAGCCCTACACATCCTGCACATTATTGAGCCCTACACATCCTGTACATTATTGAGCCCTATACATCCTGTACATTATTGAGCCCTACACATCCTGTACATTATTGAGCCCTACACATCCTGTACATTATTGAGCCCTACACATCCTGTACATTATTGAGCCCTACACATCCTGTACATTATTGAACCCTACACATTATTGAGCCCTATACATCCTGTACATTATTGAGCCCTACACATCCTGTACATTATTGAGCCCTATACATCCTGTACATTATTGAGCCCTACACATTCTGTACATTATTGAGCCCTATACATCCTGTACATTATTGAGCCCTACACATCCTGCACATTATTGAGCCCTACACATCCTGTACATTATTGAGCCCTACACATCCTGTACATTATTGAGCCCTACACATTCTGTACATTATTGAGCCCTACACATTCTGTACATTATTGAACCCTACACATCCTGTATATTATTGAGCCCTACACATCCTGCACATTATTGAGCCCTACACATCCTGCACATTATTGAGCCCTGCACATTAAACCTTACACTTGTACAGTCATGCACAGTATGCATAAGTATAGAGCCACCGTAGAGCAATCCATCAAGTGTAGACCCGGGGGGAGCACCGTAGGCTAATGACACCCCAGCACCACGCTACACCCACCAGCCTCACGCTACACCCACCACCACCACACCCAGCACCACCACCACCACACCCAGCACCACCACCACCACACCCAGCACCACCCTACACCCACCAGCCTCACGCTACACCCACCACCACCATACCCAGCACCACCACCACCACACCCAGCACCACCACCACCACACCCAGCACCACCACCACCACACCCAGCACCACGCTACACCCACCAGCCTCACGCTACACCCAGCACCACCACCACCACACCCAGCACCACGCTACACCCACCAGCCTCACGCTACACCCACCACCACCACCACCACACCCAGCACCACCACCACCACACCCAGCACCACGCATCATCCACCACGCTTCATCCACCACTCAACCATACCACTACCGCAGTGCCATCACCACCCACCACCATACCACCACCATCTTCACTTCCACGTTGAGAGCGATAGGTGAGCACTCACCCCACACCACCAGCCTCACGCTACACCCAGCACTCACCCCACACCACCAGCCTCACGCTACAACCTCATTGGCTTCACTTTCTCATAGATCGCCGCCTGCCTTACTGTAACACAGGAATCTACCTCCAGCACGCTCATCTACTTCCTGCATGCTTATCTACCTCCTGCCCGGCCACACATTCACCGCCAGACCACACAGCCATTGTTTTTTGGGCCGAGTGATGAGGGCGCTTGTCTGCGCCTTCACTTGTCAGAGGTGAAGCTCAACCTTGTATACAGTCCTTGTGAGTATGCGTTAACAGGGGGCCTCGTAGCCTGGTGGATAGCGCGCAGGACTCTTAATTCTGTGGCGCGGGTTCGATTCCCGCACGAGGCAGAAACAAATGGGCAAAGTTTCTTTCACCCTGAATACCCCTGTTACCTAGCAGTAAATAGGTACCTGGGTGTTAGTCAGCTGTCACGGGCTGCTTCCTGGGGGTGGAGGCCTGGTCAAGGACCGGGCCGCGGGGACACTATAAAGCCCCGAAATCAACTCAAGATAACCTCAAGATAACCACCACATGTCCCCCGAGGCTATACGGTCGTCCCCGGGCCTCTAATATCAATACGAAATGCCAATTCTTGTGGAAAGCTCGGGCGGGCTTGGGTGCGTATCTGGTGTGTCCGGAGCCATCGCTTGGTCTCCCCCATTCAAGGCGGTGACAGAAGTGATGCCAATATATGTCGCACACAGACATACCCATATTTATATTATATAATCTGTAAACCCACAATAGTACCATGGGCAGAACCACACATATACACGCATATTATAGTCATAATTCGTCACTTGCGCCTCCGAGGTGTGTAAGGAATTAGTGTATTAACTTGGGGAGCCGTGTGGCGTGACCCCGGGCGCTACTGTGTTCGAGCGATCGCTGCTTCTGGCAATCTGGACAAACTTTCCAAGAATTAACACTAAGAGACCTGCTGCTGTGTGTGTGTGTGTGACTGTCCCTCTGTTGTCATATGACTGTGTAGGAGAGGGACGCGACGCACACACCTGTATGTCATCAATATAACTCTCCCTTCACAGGCGTCCCTTTCCTTAACGGACGTCCCTTTCCTTAACAGACGTCCCTTTCCTTCACAGACGTCCCTCTCCTTCACAGACGTCCCTTTCCTTCACAGACGTCCCTTTCCTTAACAGACGTCCCTTTCCTTAACAGACGTCCCTTTCCTTAACAGACGTCCCTTTCCTTCACAGACGTCCCTTTCCTTAACAGACGTCCCTCTCCTTCACAGACGTCCCTCTCCTTCACAGACGCCACTCTGCTTCACAGACGTCCCTCTCCTTCACAGACGCCACTCTGCTTCACAGACGTCCCTCTCCTTCACAGACGTCCCTTTCCTTAACAGACGCCACTCTGCTTCACAGGCGTCCCTCTCCTTCACAGACGTCCCTCTCCTTCACAGACGTCCCTCTCCTTCACAGACGTCCCTTTCCTTAACGGACGTCCCTTTCCTTAACAGACGTCCCTTTCCTTCACAGACGTCCCTTTCCTTAACAGACGTCCCTTTCCTTAACAGACGTCCCTTTCCTTCACAGACGTCCCTTTCCTTAACAGACGTCCCTCTCCTTAACAGACGTCCCTTTCCTTCACAGACGTCCCTTTCCTTAACAGACGCCACTCTGCTTCACAGGCGTCCCTCTCCTTCACAGACGTCCCTTTCCTTAACAGACGCCACTCTGCTTCACAGGCGTCCCTCTCCTTCACAGACGTCCCTCTCCTTCACAGACGTCCCTCTCCTTCACAGACGTCCCTTTCCTTAACGGACGTCCCTTTCCTTAACAGACGTCCCTTTCCTTCACAGACGTCCCTTTCCTTAACAGACGTCCCTTTCCTTAACAGACGTCCCTTTCCTTCACAGACGTCCCTTTCCTTAACAGACGTCCCTCTCCTTAACAGACGTCCCTTTCCTTCACAGACGTCCCTTTCCTTAACAGACGCCACTCTGCTTCACAGGCGTCCCTCTCCTTCACAGACGTCCCTCTCCTTCACAGACGTCCCTCTCCTTCACAGACGTCCCTCTCCTTCACAGACGTCCCTAGTCAAAGATCTTGCAAAGTTTGGTGAGGTTAGCCCTAAGCGCCTGGCCCCCCAACCTCAAACACGCACATACATCATCTTTCATAGATATCAATACGTATATCACAGTTTGGACTGCGTTGCAAACTTCCGTGACTGCTATTGCAAACATGCCTTCCAGTCCTGCACTCTGGGTCCGGACCTGCACTCTGGGTCCGGACCTGCACTCTGGGTCCGGACCTGCACTCTGGGTCCGGACCTGCACTCTGGGTCCGGACCTGCACTCTGGGTCCGGACCTGCACTCTGGGTCCGGACCTGCACTCTGGGTCCGGACCTGCACTCTGGGTCCGGACCTGCACTCTGGGTCCGGACCTGCACTCTGGGTCCAGACCTGCACTCTGGGTCCAGACCTGCACTCTGGGTCCGGACCTGCACTCTGGGTCCGGACCTGCACTCTGGGTCCGGACCTGCACTCTGGGTCCGGACCTGCACTCTGGGTCCGGACCTGCACTCTGGGTCCGGACCTGCACTCTGGGTCCGGACCTGCACTCTGGGTCCAGACCTGCACTCTGGGTCCGGACCTGCACTCTGGGTCCGGACCTGCACTCTGGGTCCAGACCTGCACTCTGGGTCCAGATCTGCACTCTGGGTCCAGACCTGCACTCTGGGTCCGGACCTGCACTCTGGGTCCGGACCTGCACTCTGGGTCCGGACCTGCACTCTGGGTCCAGACCTGCACTCTGGGTCCAGATCTGCACTCTGGGTCCTTAAAAATACATGATAAATAAAACAAAATATTGATATGTAATGTTAATTCAGTTTTTGGCATTGAAAAACAAAAGATTGAAAATAGAAAGATATTTAATGGAAAATTATTCCTGCTTTAGTGAACATGAAAAAAAGGAAACAAAAAAAAAGTATTAGTAGTAGTAGGGGCCTCGTAGCCTGGTGGATAGCTCGCAGGACTCGTAATTCTGTGGCTCGGGTTCGATTCCCGCACGAGGCAGAAACAAATGGGCAAAGTTTCTTTCACCCTGAATGCCCCTGTTACCTAGCAGTAAATAGGTACCTGGGAGTTAGTCAGCTGTCACGGGCTGCTTCCTGGGGGTGGAGGCCTGGTCGAGGACCGGGCCGCGGGGACACTAAAGCCCCGAAATCATCTCAAGATAACCTCAAGATAGTACTCACTACAATCATCCCCGTCTTATGAAATTAAGAAGTTAGGTCGAATCTTACACAAAATAGTTTTCCCCGATTGTCAAAACCGCATGTATCGTTAGGATAGGCTGGGATGGGTTGAAGGTTAGGTTCGGTTAGTTTAGTTTGGGGTTGCTTGGGTATGGGTTATGTAGGTTTTAAAAGCCCGTTGGCAAACCGGTTTGTGTACGACCTGACCTGTATCCGAAATTGACCCTTCCCATTACATTCAAGACGGTGATGGAGCAACCCGTCCTGTTGAGTAGTACATCGCTTTTTTGACGTATCAAACCCCCCTCTTAAGGACAAAGAACAGATGCACTAAAAGTATCATAGAGGCTCGCAACAGTGACGTGATGTCTCGTTTTCTATGGTCATGGGTTAGGTTAGGTTAGGGCAACTAAGTACAAGGGTTTAGTGACATTTGTGAACGCTCGAGAGAACACAGTGGACGGAAGGCGAGTTTAAAGCAGTGATATACAGTGCTCTTTACCGTTCACTGCAAGTATATAGTGTCTGGTGGTAGCTCCTGGCTGGCGACGTATGTTACGAGACCTCTATTGTAGCCATAGTCTGCTCTATTGTAGCCATAGTCTGCTCTATTGTAGCCCTGAACGACAGCAGGGATGCCTTTTGTTCCTCTATGTGGATGGCCCGAACCTCTTCCAGTGCAAATTAAAGTCAGTCATCACATTAGCTCACATCTCCCACACTAGTCAACACAATCATTTATGTAATAAAACTGTCATCGTATGCAATGACACATTAATTGCAAGAACATCAATATTATAACGATTGGGAAGCACTTTAACACTGCATCTTGCACAGCAACTTTACAATTAAAGACATCTTCAAACACCCACAATGTAAAGCCATTTTGGTGTGATATTATATATAAAAACAAACCATTTGATTGCACATTTCAGGCACATCATTTTGGAAATGAAAAAAAAGCATTATACGTGTGATCTTTGGTGGGAGGACATAACGCCAGAGACTAGAGCAGCTGTCCGGACGCCTACGGCCTCCGGCTTATTCTCACCAAGACTTCAGCATCTCCCACTGCTGAAACTCACTCCCAATGAGCCCGCCCCATACCCCAGGTATGTATTCAAGGACTGCCTTAAAGTCATGGATAGTTCTCTGTGTTCGTAGTGTATTGACAATCCTCACAAGAGCCTCGAAAGTTTCTCTTTTTTCAGCTACACCCCCAGTGGTGGACCAGGTTCACACCCCTCAGTGATGGACCAGGTTCAGACCCCTCAGTGACGGACCAGGTTCAGACCCCCAGTGATGGACCAGGTTCAGACCCCTCAGTGATGGACCAGGTTCAGACCCCTCAGTGACGGACCAGGTTCAGACCCCCAGTGATGGACCAGGTTCAGACCCCTCAGTGACGGACTAGGTTCAGACCCCTCAGTGATGGACCAGGTTCAGACCCCTCAGTGATGGACCAGGTTCAGACCCCCAGTGATGGACCAGGTTCAGACCCCCAGTGACGGACTAGGTTCAGACCCCTCAGTGATGGACCAGGTTCAGACCCCCAGTGACGGACTAGGTTCAGACCCCTCAGTGATGGACCAGGTTCAGACCCTCAGTGACGGACCAGGTTCAGACCCCCAGTGATGGACCAGGTTCAGACCCCCAGTGATGGACCAGGTTCAGACCCTCAGTGATGGACCAGGTTCAGACCCCTCAGTGACGGACCAGGTTCAGACCCTCAGTGATGGACCAGGTTCAGACCCCTCAGTGACGGACCAGGTTCAGACCCCTCAGTGATGGACCAGGTTCAGACCCCTCAGTGATGGACCAGGTTCAGACCCCCAGTGATGGACCAGGTTCAGACCCCTCAGTGACGGACCAGGTTCAGACCCCCAGTGACGGACCAGGTTCAGACCCCTCAGACCAGGTTCAGACCCCTCAGTGACGGACCAGGTTCAGACCCCTCAGTGATGGACCAGGTTCAGACCCCTCAGTGATGGACCAGGTTCAGACCCCTCAGTGATGGACCAGGTTCAGACCCCTCAGTGACGGACCAGGTTCAGACCCCCAGTGATGGACCAGGTTCAGACCCCTCAGTGATGGACCAGGTTCAGACCCCTCAGTGATGGACCAGGTTCAGACCCCCAGTGATTCAGACCCCTCAGTGATGGACCAGGTTCAGACCCCTCAGTGATGGACCAGGTTCAGACCCCCAGTGATGGACCAGGTTCAGACCCCTCAGTGATGGACCAGGTTCAGACCCCTCAGTGACGGACCAGGTTCAGACCCCTCAGTGATGGACCAGGTTCAGACCCCCAGTGACGGACCAGGTTCAGACCCCTCAGTGATGGACCAGGTTCAGACCCCTCAGTGATGGACCAGGTTCAGACCCCTCAGTGACAGACCAGGTTCAGACCCCTCAGTGACAGACCAGGTTCAGACCCCTCAGTGACGGACCAGGTTCAGACCCCCAGTGATGGACCAGGTTCAGACCCTCAGTGATGGACCAGGTTCAGACCCCTGACGGACCAGGTTCAGACCCCTCAGTGATGGACCAGGTTCAGACCCCTCAGTGACAGACCAGGTTCAGACCCCTCAGTGACCCAGGTTCAGACCCCTCAGTGACGGACCAGGTTCAGACCCCCAGTGACGGACCAGGTTCAGACCCCTCAGTGATGGACCAGGTTCAGACCCCCAGTGACGGACCAGGTTCAGACCCCTCAGTGATGGACCAGGTTCAGACCCCCAGTGACGGACCAGGTTCAGACCCCTCAGTGATGGACCAGGTTCAGACCCCTCAGTGATGGACCAGGTTCAGACCCCCAGTGACGGGCCAGGTTCAGACCCCCAGTGACAGACCAGGTTCAGACCCCTCAGTGACGGACCAGGTTCAGACCCCCAGTGATGGACCAGGTTCAGACCCCAGTGATGGACCAGGTTCAGACCCCTCAGTGACGGACCAGGTTCAGACCCCCAGTGATGGACCAGGTTCAGACCCTCAGTGATGGACCAGGTTCAGACCCCCAGTGATGGACCAGGTTCAGACCCCTCAGTGACGGACCAGGTTCAGACCCCCAGTGACGGACCAGGTTCAGACCCCCAGTGATGGACCAGGTACAGACCCCCAGTGATGGACCAGGTTCAGACCCCCAGTGATGGACCAGGTTCAGACCCCTCAGTGATGGACCAGGTTCAGACCCCCAGTGATGGACCAGGTTCAGACCCCTCAGTGATGGACCAGGTTCAGACCCCCAGTGACGGACCAGGTTCAGACCCCCAGTGATGGACCAGGTTCAGACCCCTCAGTGACAGACCAGGTTCAGACCCCCAGTGATGGACCAGGTTCAGACCCCTCAGTGATGGACCAGGTTCAGACCCCCAGTGATGGACCAGGTTCAGACCCTCAGTGACGGACCAGGTTCAGACCCCCAGTGACGGACCAGGTTCAGACCCCCAGTGATGGACCAGGTTCAGACCCCCAGTGATGGACCAGGTTCAGACCCCTCAGTGATGGACCAGGTTCAGACCCCCAGTGACGGACCAGGTTCAGACCCCCCAGTGACGGACCAGGTTCAGACCCCTCAGTCAGTGATGGACCAGGTTCAGACCCCCAGTCCAGTTCAGACACCTGGACCAGGTTCAGACCCCTCAGTGATGGACCAGGTTCAGACCCCTCAGTGATGGACCAGGTTCAGACCCCTCAGTGATGGACCAGGTTCAGACCCCTCAGTGATGGACCAGGTTCAGACCCCTCAGTGACCCCCCAGGACCAGGTTCAGACCCCCCAGTCAGTGACCAGGTTCAGACCCCTCAGTGACGGACCAGGTTCAGACCCCTCAGTGATGGACCAGGTTCAGACCCCCAATGACGGACCAGGTTCAGACCCCCAGTGACGGACCAGGTTCAGACCCCTCAGTGACAGACCAGGTTCAGACCTCTCAGTGACGGACTAGGTTCAGACCCTCAGTGATGGACCAGGTTCAGACCCCTCAGTGACTGACTAGGTTCAGACCCCTCAGTGATGGACCAGGTTCAGACCCCTCAGTGATGGACTAGGTTCAGACCCCTCAGTGATGGACCAGGTTCAGACCCCAGTCAGTGACCCCTCAGTGATGGACCAGGACCCTCAGTGATGGACCAGGTTCAGACCCTCAGTGACGGACCAGGTTCAGACCCCTCAGTGATGGACCAGGTTCAGACCCCTCAGTGACGGACTAGGTTCAGACCCCTCAGTGATGGACCAGGTTCAGACCCCTCAGTGATGGACCAGGTTCAGACCCCTCAGTGACCCCTCAGTGGACCAGGTTCAGACCCCTGACACTAGTGATGGACCAGGTTCAGACCCTCAGTGATGGACCAGGTTCAGACCCCTCAGTGATGGACCAGGTTCAGACCCCCAGTGATGGACCAGGTTCAGACCCCTCAGTGATGGACCAGGTTCAGACCCTCAGTGATGGACCAGGTTCAGACCCCCAGTGATGGACCAGGTTCAGACCCCTCAGTGACGGACCAGGTTCAGACCCCTCAGTGATGGACCAGGTTCAGACCCCTCAGTGATGGACCAGGTTCAGACCCCTCAGTGATGGACCAGGTTCAGACCCTCAGTGACGGACCAGGTTCAGACCCCTCAGTGACGGACCAGGTTCAGACCCCTCAGTGATGGACTAGGTTCAGACCCCTCAGTGATGGACCAGGTTCAGACCCTCAGTGACGGACCAGGTTCAGACCCTCAGTGATGGACCAGGTTCAGACCCCTCAGTGATGGACTAGGTTCAGACCCCTCAGTGACGGACCAGGTTCAGACCCCCAGTGATGGACCAGGTTCAGACCCTCAGTGATGGACCAGGTTCAGACCCAACAGCACAAAGTCAAGACTTTGTGCTGTTTGCCACAGTCCCGTATGTATTGCAGTCTCAGGTGTGTGGTCTAGTGCCAGTTGTGGGGCAATTAACAGGTGTGTAATTCAATGGAAGTTGTAGTTTAGTGTTAGAGGAGGTATTCCACTGGCGATTGTGGCATTGTGCCAGGTTTGTAGTTCACATCCAGTTGTAGCCTAATACATGTGGCAAAGGTCCATGGATTTGATCCCTTGCCAGTTGTGTGGTCACGGGCCCAGTTTATATTTAATTACCAGGTGTGTCATCCACTATCAACTGTTGCCCTGTGCCAGGTGTCTCTTCCAGTGTCAGATGCGGACGAAGAGTCACAATAACGTGGCTGAAAATCTGATGACCCAACAACACAACAAAAAATGAAAGAACGACACCATGTCGGTCGGTCCTGGACCATTAGCAAGTCGTGTGTGAATCCAATTTCAGTATCAATTGTTGTCCTGTGTCAGATGTGTAGGCTGGTGTAAGGTGTGTGGTCCATTGGTAGGTGTGGGATCCAGTGACAGGTGTGGGATCCAGTGGCACCATGACACCATGGTTTACCATTGGCACCATGTAGCAAAACATGCAATATTAAAGGCGATTGATTCGAGGCTTTTTCTAATTACGAAATCGCGTGTTTGATAGATCTGTAGAAACCCGTGCTTGCATGTGGGACCCCGTGCTTGCCTGGGGGACCCCGTGCTTGCCTGGGGGACCCCGTGCTTGCCTGGGGGACCCCGTGCTTGCCTGGGGGACCCCGTGCTTGCCTGGGGGACCCCGTGCTTGCCTGGGGGACCCCGTGCTTGCCTGGGGGTCCCCGTGCTTACCTGGGGGACCCCGTGCTTGCCTGGGGGACCCCGTGCTTGCCTGGGGGACCCCGTGCTTGCCTGGGGGACCCCGTGCTTGCCTGGGGGACCCCGTGCTTGCCTGGGGGACCCCGTGCTTGCCTGGGGGACCCCGTGCTTGCCTGGGGGACCCCGTGCTTGCCTGGGGGACCCCGTGCTTGCCTGGGGGACCCCGTGCTTGCCTGGGGGACCCCGTGCTTGCCTGGGAGAACCCTATCCTTGCCTGGGCGATGCCGTGCTTGCCTGAGGGACCCTATGCTTGCCTGGGAGAACCCTATCCTTGCCTGGTCGATGCCGTGCTTGCCTGGGCGATGCCGTGCTTGCCTGAGGGACCCTATGCTTGCCTGGGGGACCCTATGCTTGCCTGGGGGATCCCGTGCTTGCCTGGGCGATGCCGTGCTT